CCAGGATCTTGCCTATGAGGAGCACGAGCAGCGCCAGCAGCAGCAGCAAGCACAGCACAGTGAGCACCCACGTCGCCACCTGTTCATTTACAGTTGAATATACTTTATGAAAAAATAACTTTAAAATATGGCCATATTAAGAGGGAAATACACTCTAAATACAATGTAGCAATGTAAGTTTAGAATATACTGTATGGTTATATCAACACAAAATGAACTGTATGGCGGCAATATGCTGCACAGTGGTCAACTGTGTGGCATTCTTCCTAATTATTAAACTATATTGTATGACGACGCTATTGTAACGTTGTGAATGTTGTATTATTTTCTACTAGTGTGTCCATAAAGAGAACAACTGTAAATACATCAGTAACATCACACATCACCTGCCAGCTGAAGGATACATCACACATCACCTGCCAGCTGAAGGATACATCACACATCACCTGCCAGCTGAAGGATACATCACACATCACCTGCCAGCTGAAGGATACATCACACATCACCTGCCAGCTGAAGGATACATCACACATCACCTGCCAGCTGAAGGATACATCACACATCACCTGCCAGCTGAAGGATACATCACACATCACCTGCCAGCTGAAGGATACATCACACATCACCTGCCAGCTGAAGGATACATCACACATCACCTGCCAGCTGAAGGATACATCACACATCACCTGCCAGCTGAAGGATACATCACACATCACCTGCCAGCTGAAGGATACATCACACATCACCTGCCAGCTGAAGGATACATCACACATCACCTGCCAGCTGAAGGATACATCACACATCACCTGCCAGCTGAAGGATACATCACACATCACCTGCCAGCTGAAGGATACATCACACATCACCTGCCAGCTGAAGGATACATCACACATCACCTGCCAGCTGAAGGATACATCACACATCACCTGCCAGCTGAAGGATACATCACACATCACCTGCCAGCTGAAGGATACATCACACATCACCTGCCAGCTGAAGGATACATCACACATCACCTGCCAGCTGAAGGATACATCACACATCACCTGCCAGCTGAAGGATACATCACACATCACCTGCCAGCTGAAGGATACATCACACATCACCTGCCAGCTGAAGGATACATCACACATCACCTGCCAGCTGAAGGATACATCACACATCACCTGCCAGCTGAAGGATACATCACACATCACCTGCCAGCTGAAGGATACATCACACATCACCTGCCAGCTGAAGGATACATCACACATCACCTGCCAGCTGAAGGATACATCACACATCACCTGCCAGCTGAAGGATACATCACACATCACCTGCCAGCTGAAGGATACATCACACATCACCTGCCAGCTGAAGGATACATCACACATCACCTGCCAGCTGAAGGATACATCACACATCACCTGCCAGCTGAAGGATACATCACACATCACCTGCCAGCTGAAGGATACATCACACATCACCTGCCAGCTGAAGGATACATCACACATCACCTGCCAGCTGAAGGATACATCACACATCACCTGCCAGCTGAAGGATACATCACACATCACCTGCCAGCTGAAGGATACATCACACATCACCTGCCAGCTGAAGGATACATCACACATCACCTGCCAGCTGAAGGATACATCACACATCACCTGCCAGCTGAAGGATACATCACACATCACCTGCCAGCTGAAGGATACATCACACATCACCTGCCAGCTGAAGGATACATCACACATCACCTGCCAGCTGAAGGATACATCACACATCACCTGCCAGCTGAAGGATACATCACACATCACCTGCCAGCTGAAGGATACATCACACATCACCTGCCAGCTGAAGGATACATCACACATCACCTGCCAGCTGAAGGATACATCACACATCACCTGCCAGCTGAAGGATACATCACACNGCACAAATATTATTATAAGTTCAACCCTGGCATGGTTGTACAAATATTATAAGTTCAACCCTGGCATGGTTGTACAAATATTATTATAAGTTCAACCCTGGCATGGTTGCACAAATATTATTATAAGTTCAACCCTGGCATGGTTGCACAAATATTATTATAAGTTCAACCTTGACATGGTTACACAAATATTATTATAAGTTCAACCCTGGCATGGTTGTACAAATATTATAATAAGGTTCAACCCTGACATGGTTACACAAATATTATAAGTTCAACCCTGGCATGGTTGTAAAAATATTATTATAAGTTCAACCCTGACATGGTTACACAAATATTATTATAAGTTCAACCCTGGCATGGTTGCACAAATATTATAATAAGGTTCAACCCTGACATGGTTACACAAATATTATTATAAGTTCAACCCTGACATGGTTACACAAATATTATAAGTTCAACCCTGGCATGGTTGTACAAATATTATAGGTTCAACCCTGGCTTGGTTGTACAACATCTCACGTATAGACAGGAGCTCGGGTTGAGGCAGCAAGGTGAGCAAAAGCGTCCCAGATGCAAGACGTCACGAGCTGGTCTGTCATAGCCTGGACAAAAAAACTAAGTATTAATGTCATGCGTTTCCTTGAATAACTAATTCGAATAAATTTAAAAACATAGAAAATGACACAAAAATTTAACATGTATTTACAGGAAATGGTTCGGAGTCCAGCTCCATCGTCAGTTCGAAGATTCTAAAATGCAAGTACAATCAATAGTCTAAATTAGAAGAAAAAACGAAAATAAAATCTGAATTTATAAATAGGGTGTTAATAACATCCAAAAAAGCACGAATAAAGCTACAATATTCGAAGTCAAGCATTAAAATGCATGATAATGCATGGTTATAATTCGAATTGTTGGGAAAGATGCACGACGACCACCGAAAACATATGTTCGCAATCCGCATTCCTGTGACACTTCAAATAAATTGCGCAAAATGTTTTTTAAAGTTGTCGCGTATCGATGCCATTCTGTAAAAAGATTCAGCGTCAACTAAAAAAAATTTACGAAACGCGGTAGTTGATGAGTTTAATCTGAAGAAAACTGAATTAATGTCGGCTTAACATATGAGGCCGATGTTATATATACTGCATACGCTGTCTCTTATACACATCTAGATGTGTATAAGAGACAGTATATATACTGCATACGTACATAACAATATTAGTATAACAATTAATTTCGGATAAGATGTTTTTTAGGGTATGATTGCTAAGACAAACGCACACACTACCCTATTTTGTGTAAAAATGTTATTTTATGCAACTGTCAACCCAATAATTAGGTTGACCTCCGATACGTATTGTTGGATTAATCAAGATTATAATTATTAGTATCTAAATTCGATTGCATCTAAAGGTAATTCTATTAAGGTTAGACTTACAATTAAAATGCACGGCCATGGTCCACAGGTTTAAATGTTTAACCTAATTAGAAATAACTAGCTTTAAAACAACTATTCGTTGATAGGTTCAATACAAAACATAAATAAACTAGCTTTAAAACAACTATTCGTTGATAGGTTCAATACAAAACATGAATAAACTAGCTTTAAAACAACTATTCGTTGATAGGTTCAATACAAAACATAAATGAAGTAGCTTTAAAACAACTAGTCGTTGATAGGTTCAATACAAAACATAAATAAAGTAGCTTTAAAACAACTAGCCGTTGATAGGATCAATACAAAACATAAATAAACTAGCTTCAAAACAACTAGTCGTTGATAACATCAATACAAAACATAAATCCCAGCCACCTCAGTCATCTGTAGGAGCAGTTCGTCTAGGTTATCCTTGGCAGTAGGAGAGTAGTAGTAGGAGTGTAGGACGTGCGAGATCTCGTGTGTAGAGGTTATGTTAGGCCAGAGGCTGCCTAGCAGGTACACCGTCGCTTCGTCGTGTACCTGAGACGCGCTCCCGGGGTTCCGTGCGAACAGAATAGTCGCTTCAATAAAGAAAAAGGTTATTAATAATTTAATAATTAATAAAATATAACAAAACAAGGTTTATAATGATAAAAATAATAAGAAAAGTTAATGTGCCGTGTTTAAAGACGCGCTCCCGGGTTTGCGTGCGAACAGAATCGTCGCTTCATAAAGAAAAACTATTATTTTAGCTCCTAAAGAAAGCAAATGTTTGATTATTGTTAAACGTATCAGAAGATTTCTTCAATATATCCGTTCATGTAAGATGGAAAAAAAAGTTTTCAAAGTACAGGAAAATCATCGTAGATATCTTCCCGATGAAAAAGCATCTGCACTTTCATAATCGTTATTAGTTACTTTATTAACATGTTATTTTATTATAACACTTCTCTTCAACTTCACTTGTTGTTGTTTGTTTGTCTGCCACAAATCTTATTATCGATATTTAACACACTTCTACCTCTCCAATCGATCCGAAATTTTGCACACTTGCGTAAAGTTGGAGACAATGCATGAATCAACTGACAGAGTAATTTTGAAAATAAAATAAAAAATTCAAATATAAAAAAAAGTTTTGCATATTAAAAAAAATTTGAGACTAATTTTTTGAATAGTTGAAAGTAAAATTAGAAATGCATTGTACATTTTTAACATCAGAGACACTGCATTCTTTAGAAGATTTGTCTTTGAAAATTAATTTTTAAACGCATATTATTTTAGTTGATGCTATTCGGCAAATGGAATGGTTCATAAATAACAACTTCAGTATCTTGGGTTCATGTGCGCACCAACTCTTAAAATTGCATACATCCAGTTATGGTCACTTAAGTTTTCCATTATTTTAATTATAGCCTCTAAAAATTTGACCACGAAACTTACTGAGTGCAAAGAGGATGCCCTCGTCACGGGTGCTGCCCCCCAGCACGGGCACGGGTGATGCGGGGGGACGGGCCATCAGCTCAGACACGGGCGCGGGCAAGAACGGGTCGTCCCGTAGGTAGACGTCAACCACGGGCCGGTACATGAAGGGCCAGTACACGTACCGCTACAGCAATGAGTTGAAATGAATATATGTTTAAATTAAATTTTATGTATATAATACCTACCATAATATATTATATTAAAATATTAAATAGTAAAAATAATATGATATAATATAACATGATATAATTTAGTAATTTTGAAAATAATTATCGTACGATACACAATAATAACATATATACCTATAAAAAATTTGTGAATTTAAACTATAATACGTAGTGACCGTTTAGATAAAAAAAAACAACCAAAAGAACGTTAAAATGTGTGCTGCGGAAATACCTCTAATTCTGCACTCGGGATTGAAAATAAATAAAAAAACACCTGCACCACGAACACACCTGCACCACGAACACCTGCACCACGAACACCTGCACCACGAACACCTGCACCACGAACACCTGCACCA